ATAGATAGATAGATAGATAGATAGATAGATAGATAGATAGATAGATAGATAGATAGATAGATAGATAGATAGATAGATAGATAGATAGATAGATAGATAGATAGATAGATAGATAGATAGATAGATAGATAGATAGATAGACACACAGACAGACAGACACAGTCTCAGAGCCTCGTGCGGCTGTTGGTGCACATGTGAATCCAGTCTGTCATGAACACACACACCAGTTGTTGAAAAGCTGGCTGGTCCAGGTCACTCTGCAGCGCGAATTCACTCAGGGCTTTCCACGGAGGCTGGTATGTCTGCACCTCCACCGGGTTCCCCTGCACGGTGCTCTCGTGCCGGATGGGACTTCCGGCAACAAGAGGCGTTCCTGTGAGGCCTTGGAGGTTCTGAAGACATTAAGAAGAAAAAAAAACTTAAATCGGTCGTTGGGCTGATTTTCGTGATAAATAGAAATAAATGTCAGTGTGGTTGTGTGTTTTTTTCCACTCGTAAGAAACGTCTTAACTCGGGTTGGAGGAAAGACTGATCCAGGTTCTTACATGAGGGGAAATACTGATGCAGATGCAGCCTCTTTGGAGAGGGCTTTTTCATTTCAGGTCCAGCAACTGAAGCCAAAGCGGCTGATTCATTATTCATTGCAGTGAAGTTTGACTACAGCATAGTAGTGGAGCCAACTGGAAAGGCTGCTTTGTCTTCTAGTGCAAGTTAGGACCGCGACTACGGAGGTTCAAGGGACTGGAAACGTTGGATAAGCTGCTCCAAGTAAATAACAGTAATAATAAAAGACTCCTCACACACACACACAGACTAAATCTTCTTTAACAAATCAGACAAACGACTGTGTTTTTTCCATGGAGAATAAACGGAACCCCGGCAATGATCCCCAAAACAAGGACAGAATTGTGGAGAGTAATCAAGTGGCCGAACTTACGAAGATGCTTACAGTCTTATCACTGTGCTGCTGCTGCTGGAGCTGCTTCATGAGGATGGACTTCTTCTTGTCCTTGCAGCGCTTGTTCTGGAACCAGACGCGGATGACCCGGGGGCTGAGGCCGGTCATCTCCACCAGCTGCTCCTTCATGAGCGCGTCCGGCCGCGGGTTGGCGTTGTAGCAGGTCCGCAGCGTGTGCAGCTGCTTCTCGTTCAGCACCGTGCGCACCCGCGTCGTCTTCTCCGACTGCTTGTGGACGTGGTTCCGGTGCGGGGCCTGCCGCACGGACACCGGGTCTGCAGGAAAAACGAGAGTCAGAGACTGGCCGCAGACAACGTTTTTGATCGAATGTTTTTCTACGTTCCAAAAAAATGGAAATCCGTGCGTTTTTATTGTATTCCACATTGTGGTGAGAGGGTTCGTCTCCGGTATCAAATGAGAAATAGTCGATGTTCCTGGCGTTTTGGCTGAGGGATGTGGCCTAAATCTTTACACCACCGTGTTTTAAACTATTTAGTTGGGAAGTGGGCTCTCGGTCTCTGCTTGGAAAAATAGAAGTGTTGCCATATTTGTCTTAATTTCAGACTTAAACATTTCTCAAGACTTTCTTAATTCCCAATAGTAACTAAAGTCAGCCTTAATGCTAATCTCGAGAGAGAGACTTTAAAAAAGAAGCTCAATTTATCCCTCAAATTTTAAAAAGAAAAAAAACGATGCTGAAAAACGGAATCAAATATCCGTTTGAGGCCAGAAAATTACAGACTGAGCTGCCCAGCTTCGATCAGTTTTACCTCAAGCCGGAAGTCGGTGGACATGATTAACGTATTTCTTTCTTTTTGGCAAGGTGACTTGTCCCTCACACCCGAACACACACACAGACACACACACACAAAGACACACACAGGCCTATGCACACGACCGAGCACAGCCGCAACTCAAATAGCAGATTATTTAGATAATGGCGACAGAGCAGGTTACCGCTAATGAGATCAATTATGAAATTAGCTTTAAGTAAGGTCGAAGCACACACACTCCCCATGCCCACACACACACCAGCGAGCTTGAGTTTGCAGACGGATGACGAACAAAAAGGCTGCACCACCTTAGAATTGAATGCACTTAATCCAATAATGTATTAGTATTTTTCCTTTTCTAAAATTATTTTTCTTTTTTTCGCTTTTAAACAATAATAATTTGAATTGTTTGAAGTCTACATGCTCTTAAACTGGGCTGATATATTTTGTATGGGACCTTATTGAACGAAGCAACTGCAAATAATGATTTAAAATCTTTCTAATGACATATTACTACTACTATAATAATAATAATAATAATAATAATAATAATAATAATAATAATAATAATAATAATAATAATAATAATAATAATAATAATAAGGATGATGATGATGATGATGATGATGATAATAATGATGATGGTGACGGTGATGGTGGTGAGGGGGGGGTCTGACCTGCCAGGTGCAGCGGTCTGCTGGAGTGGATGTGTCCGGGGCTGACCGGGCTCCCCGCGGAGCCCCTCTCCAGCAGCAGGCTGTGGTCCGCCCGGCACAGCAGCTCCTCTTCCCGCAGGGAGAACTCGTCCCCCGGCAGCAGCTGCCTGCTGCACACCGAGCAGCGGAAGCACTCGATGTGGTAGACGTTATCCCGAGCCCTCATCACCAGGTCGCTGCTGCTGAAGCCCAGGTTGCATTTTGCGCATTTTATTCCAAACAGCCTGCAAAAATTGAACGTTGTTAGAAGAATGTTTAAAAAAAACGAGGGGATTTAGAAGACGACAGACCAAAGAGAAGTTTGTTGGTTTTGCTCTAGTAACCCTGTCTGATTTTCTTTTTCACAAAATGAAGAAAACTCTTCTTTAAGTGGTGTTTTAAAATATATATTTCTGAAATGTCTTCCCAAGCCCAGATTCACCAGTTTTTAAATATCTCCTCCTCGTACATATATATATTTTTTATCATGAATAAATGCACCCAAACTTTTTATTTTCAACAACTGGTGCTAGGAGACCCGTGAAGGAGATCTTACCAAACTCGTACCTTACATAATCTCTTTTGCAATAGGTTTTGCCGTCCCGAACGAAACAAGTGCAGGTCTCATCCAGGTACTGGCTGCACTCCGCGCACTTCAGGCAGGCTGCGTGCCACTCCAGGTCGGGTGAGACTCTCAGTATGTACTGGTCATGGATCTGACTTCCACATCCTACACACATCGCGAATCCTGGCTTCTCTGCAAAGACGCCACAGCATGGTCAGCACAGCTCCAGTGTCCGGCCGGACGGACATCACACACAGCAGCAGGGTTTTTTTTTCCATCTCTCAAAATCACCCACATTTTTTTTTTTTTTTGTAGAAGTGCCCTTATTTGCAGACAGAACAACCCTCTCTGTTATGTAACAACTGGTGTCTTTTTGCCAATAATCGCGAAGCAGAGCACTTAAGTGTTTCGTTACCTAAAAGCTCCTCCAAAGAGCCCAGCAACGGAAGCAATACCACGCAAATGTGCATTATCAAGAAAAATCACTCAATTAATCGATGCACTGACCGATCATGTAGCCTAACCCCCACTAATGCCACTGCGACGGACACAGAATCCACTCCGCCACTCCAACTCCACAGAACACTCCAGCGTAGGCTACTTACTTTTGGAATGATCCCCCATATCACCCAAGAAAGAAGAGCTGAAAATAATATCCACCATACAGGACGGATAAAGGGGATCGTTGTAGATGCAGAAAAAGATGTGACGAGATGACTGACCCTTCGGCTGCCTCCCAGATAACTTGTGTCTCTCCGGACTGGAGGGGGGCCGAGGAGGCTACAGGGTCCCACACGCTGCTCCTATGACGTCATGACGTCACCGCAGGATTCTCCAATCACCCCACTGCACCTCTCCGCAAGTCTGGGGGGAAAGAAAAGAGACGAGCAAAGAAAAGCTTGATGTGGATGGATGACAAAGGCCGAAGAATGCAGATGTTTATGTTTTGTTATCTCTTTCAAAGATAAAATTGGAATACTTTATACGGGCCAAAAGAAAAGCTATTGTTTCTTTGTTTGTAAAATACATTAAAAAAAAAACCTTTATCATCCTAATCTGGAATAATTTGTATATTTAAAAAGATTTAAAAAGATCCCGTATATTTAACTCAACAAACCTGGAGATGTTGCAATCGTTGCTCCCAAACAACTAAGTAACTTTTTTGGCGTTTAGATTACGTTTACCCCACAATTTAATAATTGGATAGATTATTGATCCGCCCGACACATTTACACATGTTGATTCCATTCATGCATCTCTAAATATATTATACACGTCTGTTTCGATCTCGTAAAATCCTTTCCATTGTTCAGGTGAAAAATTATTTTTCACGATGACCCATGAGTTTAAGACGTTAAACCAAAGAAACGTCACTTGTTTCGTTTTTTTGTTGTTTTCCATGAATTCAGCAGATGTGAGGACATTTAACACGATCTGATGCCCTGTGCCACCTGATCATCTATTCGAGAACAACGACATCTACTGGAGGTAGACCAGAACTACACTTCTCAGAGGCCAGCTGTTAAGATAGGGAAGGAGCTACTGTACTGAGAAAGGGGTGGCAGTATTGTGAATTTGTGTAAAAAAACTGAAGCATTAGAAGACAGGGAGTCAATATAATTAACTAACTTTAAAATGAATTACTTTTCCACTGGCAACCAGCTATTAAATTGACCTTATCAAGTCACTAATTGCAGTGATCGTCCACACAGAATCATTGGTCTGATTGTCCAAGCATTTCTGTTGTGAAAAAATTATTTTGGCTGTGAAGTGACACAATGATTTATTCATGGGGATCCTTTCCTAGGAATCACACGTCACTATGCAAAGCACTTAGAGTTATTTTAGTTTAAAATCAGCAAATGTGACACATTAAATGAAAACATAGCATGTTCATTATTTGATAAACACTTTGCCCAGTCATGGTAATCATTCTGTTTTATGCACACAGTGTTATCCACACCAGTGGACGTCACTCACAAATAAAATGGTGGATGTTGGATAAAACGTTTCGGTCAAATGTCCATTTCTTCTATACAATGAATATGCAATAGCAGGAATGATAGGACATGAAATATTTGTTTGTGGTTTGTTATTTGTGACCCAGCCATAATACTTGTCACTCATGGCATAAAAGCCTCCCAGAAGAATCCGTAATCACAGTTTGATCGGGTCCATTAACCTCATGAAATATATATGTGTGACTGAACTAATCCACTTAAAACTTTGGCAAGGGCCAAATGTGCATGTCTGGAATTCAAGGGGGCATTCATGGGACGGATAAATGAACTTTTTGCAGTGACTCGTTGTCTCTCCAAGGTTTCAGGGTTCCATGCCACTCTGCCTCTATTGTCAGATGTAATTTGCCTGTGCTGTCCCCTCAAATTCCCCAAGCTAGGGTTGAGTTAAAAGCTGTGCCAGTTTGAGTACATCTGTCCTAAGATAGGGGTTCCCCCCTCCCTTGTATTCCACACATTAAAAAAACATGAACAAAAATGATAAAGAAAGAAAAATTTGTATTTTTGTGTTTTATTTTTCTGATGAACATCCATCAATTTGTTATTATACTTATATGGTGTAAGGGGTATATAACATGGGGAATTTAACATCCATGTTGGTACCTGGAGAGGCATGACTCTGAGGAAAATCTTCCCTGATCTAAACCCAAGTGGTCTTTTGTTCCTGGGCTTCTGTGCCTGTCATGGCTTGTCATTTACAAATGGCAAAAGGTGGTTTTTATGTGTACCTGGTACAAGGCCACTTTAGCCTCAGTCAATGACCAACTTTGTTGTCATGTTGTCAGACCTGTGCCTGTAGGTCTTGGACACTTAGAGCTGTCAACTGTTGGACACTCAGGTGGATCCATTGGGGGTTGAGGCTGCTGGACAGTGCTGGACAGCCCAAAAAAGCAGTGAGCATAAGGAGGAAACATCTAGTGGAGCCTCCTGTCCGCAAGAGTTTTTTTCCACATTTCCAAGAGAATTCTTTTAAGGGAGCTTGAAGAAATTAAATCCAAACTCACCAAATCAAGGTCCCACAATGTGGGTGTGGCGTCCCAGTGTCGGCCCACTGGTGGTTCCCAGTGATGGAAGCCATCAAGTTGAAGAAGGACATCTTTAGTGCTTGGTTGTCGCCTCAAGTGCAGATAGGTAAAGAGTGATTTGATAGAGTGAAGCATCAGTGGTTTCTGAAGATAAAACTTGGTTGGGGGAAGAATGTAGGCAGACCACAGAGGGGGACTTTTGTGTGGCCTCAGGGATGTTGTGGAAATCCATCTGAGGAAGCAGACCGGGGAAGCAGGAACCTTTCCAGGTGGTGCTTGACCTGGGTGGAGCACAAATTACTCGGATTGAGGTTATTTTCAGGTGGGCAGAATCATATCTATCAGTTAGATTGATCACTTTTGCTATCTAAAAAATACTTGATGATAATCAAGATTTTCGCAAAAATAGAATAACAATCTTATATGTATTAAAGTTTTTTTTAAACAATTTAAGCTCATTTGGACATATCTTTTGGCAATCAGAGACAATAGAGTAACATTCCTTCACTATAATTGTAGTTAATTACTTTAAAGACACTGAATTATTTACTAAAATCAACGTAGTTAAAGTATTTTTGTCCTTCATGTTCAGAATCAGCCACAACAGAAATGATTGGAGACAGGTTCGTCTGTAAATATAGAATGAAGATAGATCCTGAGATAAATTTGTGAACACTTTTGAAAAAACATAATTAAGTGGCATCTCACAAGTAGTTTTTAGTGTCACTGTATTGATGTTTTATTTGACTGTGCAGTTCGGGTTCTGTGACAAGTCTTCTGCATGAAAGGAAAATCACATCCACATGCAAGTGAGGTCACACTGAGAGGGTAACCATGTTGCAGATCTATAATTCATAATTCTTTAGAGTTAATGCAGTATTCACATGATAATTAGTATTAATTTTTGATTGGTGCCCCACGGCAGCTCTGCATTGTTAGGCTGGAGAACCTGTGCCATTATTATCTTATTAGTGTAACTGTCAGCCGACTGTTTTATTTTACAAATCCGCATCTTGTATTTTATTATCGGCTGCTCTCATCAGCACCGATCCTCTTGTTAATTTTCGGCTGCTCTAACAAGAGGCTGTGTTATTTAAATGAGCAAAGAAGCACCTCTATTTAGATCAGTCAAAACAATTAAATCACTAAATGCATGATGTCTCAACACACTGAGAGAACCGACTGGAAATGAAATGGTTTGCATACACTTTTCATTTTAAAAATCCCAGTCTTTATTTTAATGTCTCATAGTTAACAGATTACAGCTGTCTCATGCATTTTAGTTGTTTTTACAGTTCATTATAATGAGTCAGATTTTGGTTGTGAATCTGCAAAACCTCATGCAGAGAAAAGCAGTTTAATGCAGCGACTGTTCAAACTTCCTCATAGACTCCTTTTTAATATTTAGGCATGAAGTGGATAACAAACTCTGCTTTCACAATCCATAATTAATACATTTGTAACGCAATATTACACAAAGTATTATGATACTTTGGAAGTAATTTTGATAGCTTCAGTACAGCTGAATACGCTTCAGTCATTTGAAATTTAATCAAAAGGCTTTCTTGCGATAAATTCTACTTTGAGTTTGACTGATTTTCAAGCATCAGTCAAATATGATTTAAAGAGTCTCTCTATTTTGGGGTTTTGTTGGTTCCTTAATTTTAACAAATGCTATTTAGGGCACAATGAGAATTTGCCACTTTTATATTTATAAGACTTATAATGAGGAATTTTAGCATTTGACTGCACATCTCAATAGAAAATCAGATGACAATTACATTTAACATGGCAGGGCATTTGGATATTTAAATAGTCCAGGTATATGTTTTGTAACATGTGCTATGTTACTCCGCTTACTGACCAGCTGATGAGCGACATGTCATGATCCGCTTGCTTTGTAAAGCACTCATGTTCTCACACCTGAGGTAAGCTTTTCAGTGTGAAAGAAGAGGTTTCAGCATCACTTTGGGGTATTTTTAACAACAGGACAGCAGGTGCACATCTCCCCAACCCTCACCCTCCACCAGCTGTGTGTACTTGTGTTTATGTGAGCAAGTTGAAACCAAATGGCAGAGCACCAGAGCTGTGGGAAAACTGACCGAGCTTGGCAAATTGACTACTGACTCTGATGAACCAAAACTGCCTGCTGCCGTCTTTGTCAGCTCCTTCTTTTCAGAAGAAAACATCGACAGGTCAAGGGACCTGCTTTTCTATCTTTTCTTTCTTTTTATTCCAAGTTTTAAAAAAAGAGGCCTTCCAGATTGACAGGGCCTTTCATATTGTATTATCTGGCCTGGCTTTTAACTCCAGGAGAACTGTGTTCACAAATTGATGCTCTGCTCCTTTGGGGCTGCAGCTGAAACATTAAATTGTACTAAAATATTCATATGTGAGTGCATTTAGCTGAGAGCAATTGATGTGCGACTCCCCAGAGACCAAATGGAAATGTTGCAGGGCCCCAGCACACGCTGGCAGACACCCTGAGCTCGGGCCAGGACAGTGATTGTGATTTAGCTCAGGATACCAAATCAGGCTAAATCGAAAGCTACTTGATCAGACAAGCAGCGTCTGGCTCCCGTCACCAGGTACAGAGCTACAGTTTTTAGGCTAATTATAAGTTTCAGTACAAAAAGGAAACTTTGGTTGGATGGTATTCTATTTTGATTAGTTTTGAATAAGTATTACGTTTTCATTTCCTCTTCACACTGACAGTCCCTGAACTATCCCCCAGCAGTGCACACATCTGTTCCATACTCAAAAGATTTCAGTCAGATTTATCATTTTGTATGAAGATTTTGTGCGTACAATGAAATGCAGCAGATCTCAGCCACTTCAGGAAAAAAAAAAAGTATTCCAACGGTATAACGTGATTTTAAAAACGTGTGGCAACCATTTCCCCACAGAGTTATGCTTCAAATTTTAAACTGTTTACTAGTTTATCTGGGCACTCATGCATAGCTAGATACTTACATGTTGGATTGCTGAATTAACTTTGATGTTCGGTATATTGTTTCATAGAGTAATGTCGTGTTCCATGTCCCAGAGGACTGAGATGATTGTGTGCTTGTGTTTATTACACAACAAATATGCGCAGATCTTCTTAAAACTCATTACACAGAACACATTCAACATGTTTCTCAGTATTGTTCTTGTTGTGATTCAAAACAAAAGAAAAAATCTGATTCAAGTATTTGTTTCTGTCCTTTCTCTTATTCTGTTCATAGTTCTCAACATACTGGCTAAATAATTAATATTATACCCCCAGAGGACTGAAGTGATTTAGTTTGGTCAGTCAGTAGATCTTGTTTCTAATTTACTCTGTTCTTTTGTTGTTGACCCACTTTAAGAGGCAAAGCAAGGGTCTGAGGGGAGGGTAACAGATGAAAACTGTTTTATGGAAATACAAAAAAAAAAATCTCCTGTAGCCATGACAACAGTCTCTTGAGTGGATTTCTTCCACCAGGCGAACCTTCGGATCCTGAGCACTTAAGAAGTATGTTTCAAAAAGAGAACCTGAGAAGCTTTTTAAAAAATGATGTATAATTTATTTGTATTTTTCTCCTGCTCCAGAGCCTCTTGAAGGGGTGTCCTGCGTGAAACATGTTCTGAATCTGTCAGAATGTGGCAGTAATGCAGTCATCTTCCCATTTTCTGTGTGTTCTCAATGAGATTGTTTAATACATTCCTGCTGTTTGAGTGTCATAAAGCTCTGTTCAAAATCTCTACAAAACATAAGAGAAGGAATCCCGGCCGTAAACAAGACCACTGATTAAAATTTTCTTTGAAAACACTTGTGAAACAAATAATTCAGAACTCACCTTTTTAGATCTCCCTGTGAGTCGTGGTTTACATTTACAGCTTCCTTAAATTTGCAGTTTAACTTAAAGACTCAACAGTTTCATTGCACTCTCATCCCAAAATGTTTTCCCCTTGTTTTTACATTGTTTATGACAAATGAAAGACAACTTCAATTTTCTTGTACTTTCTCTTTGCTTGCTCTCTTGGTTCCTAACTTTCTTCTTCGACACAGTTTTAATTTGTCTTGGTTTGGGGATGCCATTCAGTCTTGAACAGTTTTCCCACAAGGAAACAACTTTCCAAACTGGCATTAATCTTTAAACACAGCATCATACAAAATAACGTGAGAATACACAACCATAGATAGAGAATCATATTATCACAGTAGTAATACATCCAGAGGATACTGAGCATGTAAAAATGTAGTACTCACCAGCACTTGAAGAAAAGACTTCACCTTCACGCATAAGAGTCTCACCATTACAATAGAAAATTATATTTTCTTTCAAAATGCAGGAATTAATCTTACTGTTAAGTTCAGGGTCTGAATGAAAATGAAAAGAACAAAAATGAAACAGACCTCATAAACTCAGATTCCCGTGATGGTTCACTATGAGCAGGATTTTGATCCATTCTGTACATTTAGTTATTATTTTCATATAAAGCAACTCTCCAAAGTTTTATTAATGTGTGCTCTGCTGGAAAAAACTTGAAATTGGCAAAACAATCCCATCTACATTGTTAGTGTTCTGACATGGAAATTCTGATGATTGTAAACATTGGAGGAAACTGGTTTCTCTTTGTTAATGGAAATGAAAAAGATGATCATGTAATGTTAATGCGGATAAAGTGACTCCCCCTGTGAAATTATTAAAACATTTCAATTGTCAAGAGTCTAATGGTCACTGTTAATTCATTTATTTTCCTGTGAGTGTGACAGAGACTGTACCTCTGATTTCATTGGAGAGGTCCCAAAAGAAATTGACTCTTTAGCATGTCTCCTAAAGGTCTGCACCGTATCCCTGCCTGTCAAAATTCACCACCTAACCCAGACAGATTGATATGATGGGTATGAAAAGTCAAGGAACTTAAGTTAAGGAAGCGTGGCATTTAGCATCTGTTTTCACTTCATTGTTTCAGCAGAAACAATAAAATGCCTCAAATGCACCTGTGGTGCCAATTATACAAGTAATAACTATTCTTACCTTAAAAATGACTGCACATCTAACAAGACTGGTTATCCTTGTTGAACCACAACAAGGATTATTGTATAGAGGTATTTGCTGGCAATTAGGGGAGTCACAAAATATTCCTGTCAGCACGTGATATTAAATTAATTAAATGAAACATAATATCAGGAATTGTAAATGCTGTTTGCATGATGTCAAAAACCATCAAGTTCAGATTTTGAATAAATTCTCTTGGTTTCATAATTTATCTCAGCAGGAAGCGACATAGATATGACTTGCAGAATCCATAAATAAAAGAGGAGATTGTTCTTTGTGTTATCACTTTAAATACACAATCAACACCCATGGGAAATTGAAAGAATAACAAATATCGACAAAAAGAAGGACCTACTTGGTAACTAAGGAAGCTTCATTCAAGCCACACCGTTGGAACACAACAGCGAAAATCTGATTTCGAATTGTTGTTGTTTTTCCAAGGCTCCTGGAACTCCTTTTCCTCTGAAGAGACTGACAAAAACGGAGATCATTAAAAAAAATCTTCAAGCCAGCAGCCAAATCTAAACATTGAACAATTAAAATTCTCTGGACTCTTGTAAACATTTGACAAGCAACAAAATGGTACAGCAGTTTATCTTCTGAATTAATGATATGAAAGGGTAATTGGGAATGAGTGGAGGGGGTGAATCTCCTCATAACACGCTTGCAGCAACTTAACCAATTAGTGGATGTTGTGACAAGTTTAATGCTAATAATCTTAAATAATTTAGCTCATGCCAATGAAATTATGTTGCACAATGTGTGTCAACCAAAAAGCTAATGAGAAAAACGTCTTTATTAGAGTCTGATCAGATGTTTTAAGATTGATTTACCAGATTATTATTTAAAACCATCATATCTGAATAGAGGTCAGTATTCTATGAGTAGTTAAAGAAATACCATCTTTATTTTTGCTGTTTTCATTCAAATAACAACATCTGCATTTGGCAACAACTTCCTCCATATCAAGTTTACAAAAGTGTCTGTAAACATTAAAGTGCAAAGAATTTGCTCACCATACATGGCACATATATTTTAAAGGTTCATGCTACAAGCACTCCAGTCTAGTTTCACAAGAATAGTCCATCCGGTCACCTTTTGATTTTCATCCACACATGTACCCTAACTAACGTTTGAGAACAAAAATGGTATTCAGCAAGTTTTTCATCCATGGTTTCAAATCAGTCAAATGGGTGACGGAAAGGCAAAGATAAGAAAAACTGGATCAGTTAGTCCTGTATTACAGTCTGTACCCTGTTTGAACAAAGAACAGCATGTTGAACATTTAAAGTTGATCGTACAAAGGAAGAGAAAACAAAATGCAAGATACAAAATGCTCTTTTAACAGCTTGAAACTTGTTCAGCATTTAAGTTGCAGTTCAGAATAGGCTTGAATGGGCCTTTGCTGGTTTTAATTCTTGTGGAGTTCAGTGCATTTCTGACCTCTTCAGAGTGAGAATTCCTGATGACGAATGTGTCCAAAAACACATCAGATTCCCAGCGACTGGGATGTTCTGGTCTTTGTTGTGCTATATCCAGGCATATCTGATTTCGAAAATCAATTAAGAGGGGAACAGAGGACATTGGACTGTATGGCAAAGGGCCTCCGAGTTTCTAATGTTATTTCTACTGGCTGGAAGCTACAGCTCAAGCTTGCTCTGAATTGGCTAGGACTGGATTTACACAGCAACAGAAAAATCCCATTTCTATATCTTATGTGGCCTCTCTCATGAGGTTTGACCTGTCACAAGAGATCAGATAAATGCCGAACAGGATGGCAGTAAAAAGATCATAAAAGCCTCTGTTTCCGTGTAAATGTCGCTTATGTGTCAGGCATGCGCCCAAGCGGTGAGTCAGCTGGGCCGAGCAGCCGGTACTTCTCCTCCAGAGACGGCTCAGTGGCGCTGCCTTGCAGGTGGATTAGCGGCTTGGTCTGCAGCAGAACGCAGCCCCTTCCCCGACCTCGCCTCTCCTCCTGGTTTCTGCGATTGAAGATGTTTATTCTGTTCTCAAGCTCGGGGCTGGCATTTTCCGAACCGGTGGGACTGGGAAGCTTGAGGTTGACGGGGTCGACCGCCAGGCCCTTTTGAGCCAGGCAAGAGTCCTCGGAGAGGGAGGAGAGTAGCTCCTGCACCACCACACTGGGGTCCCTGCAGGGGTCCTGGCCTGAGAAGGCCGGAGGGTGGCAGCGATGCGAGCCGTAGCTCAGACTGAGGTCCTGAGCTGCACTGCTGCTGCAGTCTGTCATGGATGAAGCCGGGGTGTGGCTGCTCAGGCTGTGCGGGCGGGCCGTGAGACTGCCGCTGGAGCGCGATATGCTGGTGGAGGCGTCACTCACCGCGCTGCCAACCCGCTCCAGAGCGAGCATCGGGTTCGACTGGTTGGGGTTAGTGCCGGTGGGGAGGTGGACGTCAATGGCTGCTGTGGTGATAACCCGGGCCCCTAAGCCAGATGTTCCAGGATCTTGATCAAAATTTACGTTCAGTGGAAAAGCAAAAACAGAGCAGATTAAGAGAAAAGCCTTCCAACAAGAAATGCCAACAGCATTAATAAAGATTGGTGGCAGGCTAAAACATTTACTTCTGCCATGATGGCACAAAGGACATGTCAACTGTTGTATGTATGATTTACAACTAAGTGTATTTTATATGATCTCTTCTGGTTAAAGACTTTTCTAAAACAACTCAACTTTTCAGCTGGTGTTTCACACATGCTTTTTGCTGCATTTCTGAACTAGCATGCATAGTCTTTGTAATGGTCACTTACCACTGCTTGCTTCAGTAAAATATTGGCTGATATAATTGTTCATGTCATCACACACAACAGGATCTGAGTTACAAATAGAAACAAGTACAAGAGAATGAATTAGAACTACTGTGACTTCCTTCTTATTCTGTTTTCAACAGAAAACCACCATTTTTAAAATGTCAATAGGTTATTAACTCATATATTTGCTAAAGCTCCTTTTGCACTCGTTTATAAACGGTAATAAAGAAGAACTTTAAAAGTACAAATAAATTGCAATTTAATCACTAAATACTGTATGCACTATAATCGATTACATATGATGTCTAACTATGTCTTATGTTTGATATATGGTTGCAATGTTGATTGAATAATGTTATATTATTCAATCAACATTGCAACCACATATCTTATATAAAAAAATTGATAAAAATAAGTTAAAATACTATGCATAATATATTGGATATAATTTTTTGTAATGCCTATTATAGATAATACAAAAAGTAGTAACTGAGCTCTTAATTACATTTCACACCCTTTTGACTGTACCTTGGGTCAATTTCAGTAACACAGCCCAAGTTAGTCCAAATGGAATATATCTCTTATGTTTACAACATAATATTGACCAAGATGACTTGTGCCGCAGGCCACAGATGCTTTATAGTCAAGTGGGCAGGATCATGCACATGCTGCTACGCTGCACATTAGCTGCACCTTAGTGCACTAGGACTAAACTGGGGCAGGGTGGGGTTGGGCTGAGAGAGGCCAGGAGCTCTTTGTTCCGGCCCCGATCCCTCCAGCCTATCTACCCTCAGCGAGCAAAGGGAATGGCTGCGATCTGCTGTGCTCTTCTGCTCGCTTGATTGGTCTTGAGCTAAGTGTCCGCTGGCTGAGTGCGAACCCAGAGTACCCTGAGTGCTAGCCCCAATCCCGCGGGACATGCAGCAGACTCTGATGGGTAATTTCATTTATTTTTCAGTCTAAAATATTAATCCCATAGCAACCCCCAGAGAGGAAGCATTGCACTCACTAAAACAAGACTGAGACAATCGCTCCACAGTTAATAACACATGAGTCTTAGGAAAGAAGAATTGGCTGTCCAGCATGCATAAAAGGCTCCCTTCTATCTGTGACACTCAAGTTGCCAGGCTGTCATCTGCCCACGGAATAGGAGAGATGGCATGCAAAGGTCATCTCAGTTCAAATTTAGACTGCAATTTTAATGGGCGAAGCCTCACATGTAAACCACATTTGTAGAGGAGAGGGGCTAGCTGAAGCCAAATGAAGATAACCTAAATTCTGCTCTAGAAGATGGATCATTATGAACCTGGTGATACCATCAGATTATGTCTTGTGCCATCAGCTCCTCAAAGTCTGTGTTTGATCAAAGTTTTGATCAGCCTCAATTGGATTTTTCGCTCTAATTAGACAGTGGTAGTATGTGAACAAACACAGTGGGCATTGTCACCACTTAAAGCCAGTATGCTAACACTTTGTCAGCATGTTATACAGCCATTACTTCACAGACCTGAGAGCATGGCAGCAAGCTCAAACAGGGTTTGTTTTGAAGAGGACAACTGGGCAATCTGAAGTGCTCCCTTCAGTCGAGCAAAGCTTTCAAATGTTTGTTGTAACTAACTGTAAACAAACTTTAGTCCAGAAAATTATTCCCAGGGTATTGGCATTTTTAAATACTGTAAGTCATGAACACTTTGAGACTTCTTAGGATCAGATTGGGTTGTTTACACATCTTGCTATCATGTGGCAATGACATCAGCTACATAGTCATATTGTCACCAGACTGTCATTAAATCTACATGGTATTGTTCTTAAAGACACCAGTAGATCTATCTCCTGAGAGAAACATTTGTATAAGGCCAGTGACAATTGAACATTTCCTGGTAGCTTGACAGAGGCTGCAGGTAAAAAAAAAAAAGAAGAAGAGAGAAATGTCTGAGAGAACAAAAAAAAATTGAATACATCTGACTTGACTGAAGCCCCATGGCCAAAGTGATCATCCTAGTGACCATGTTTCTGTAAAAAGCACTGCTTGTTTTGTGGGCCAGATTTCCTTCCGTGCCCTTGGGGTAATACTGTGGCCACCGTGGAGCATCCTGGTGCTCTGCTGTGGTTTCTAGGTGGGGAACAGATGTTGACAGGAGCCCACTCTTTCCAAACAAGGCCCAATGCACAGAGCATTCTGTCCCTGAAATAGCTTGAATAATCTGGGCTGGGCCTGTGAGGAGTGGGTCAGCGGCAGAAATGGCTGGAACTTGACAGATGGCTGCGTAGCCTGACGTGGAGTCAGGGAACATGCATTTTTCTGCAGGATTCATCAGATCCTAAAAGCTTTTTGTTCTCATGTTGATCTCAGATTGCCTGTGGTCAGATGAGTGTTGTCTGTTAGCACAGAGGGGCTGAGAGGATGGCCTTAGAGATGCTCCAGGGTTTACAGCTCCTGACTAACTGTATAATGCTTCGGCATCCGGGTCACCTGATGTTGCCCTGTCACAGGCTTTTTGTTCCAAGGAATTATGTTCCAATTCAGCTCTTCACCTCATTTCTGACTTTACATGCTGCCTTCACAAGCAGACAGAGCATTTTCTGATTTGAATTATGTAGCAAACTATTTTAGTTTGCAACCCTATCTAATGGAACAATTACAAGTCTAATTTCAATTCACTTCAATCAAGCTTTTACGAGCAAAGCTTTTTGGGAAAACTCCACACCTGCACTGACACGTGGCTCCCTGGGTTTTCTCTGACCACCCTCGTCATCCGACTCTCCAGGTGGTAAACCCTCGACGACTTGAAAACTCCTGCCCTGTGTGCCCCATACGTGATGGATCTGCATGGCTGCCTCACGTTCTGCAGCAAGGTCCAGGTCCTGCTGGGCCAGATGTGCCCTCAGCTGCCTGATTTCAAACTGAACAGTGTTGGCCATGACATGGAAACAGGAAAAGGAAAAATGGGAATTATTACAGATTCAAAAAGGGTTTAGGGAAGTGTGAGAAAAAAGTGTGAGAAAGTAGTTCCTGCACTGTTAAATTCACTGAGCATCACAAAAAAGGACACGGACATCAAAAGTTGATCACATATGCTTTCACAGAGTTCACATTTACAACACACAACATGATAGAGGACAAAGTTTTAAACAGAACTCTTTATAGGAAAGATCTGTCTGAATTTACGTGAGACACTTTTGTTCTTTTTCTTTATTCAAATGAGTTTACCAATTGTAGATGTTAAGTCTCAGACTTTTTTCAGTCAAATGACCCATGGTTTAAAAAGACAGAAAGTCTCTACCGATATATATTAGAGCCTATATCTTTGTGTCTGTATTTGGTGAGTTTCTCAAAGGAGGAATACTTGTAGCTGCCACTAAAACTCTAGACATCTTGGTGAGGTATTGCTGCCCTCCTCTGGTGACAGACTAACTGACAGTTTCATGCATGGCTTTGGGTAAAGAGGGCCTGTGTGGCTCTGGTCGATCCAGTAGAGCAGTAAATTATCAGTTTTGCTCTGGCGGTGCTTGAACAGTGAGTGATACACCTCTGCAACTTAGTCTGACAATGAAAACTGGCATACAGTCCAGTTCAATTCAAAACATGTATATGTGTTACTAGGTCCTTTCCATTGTTATGAGTGTTTTGTAATATTTTCATCAAATATGCAAAATAGAGACCATATCACAGGAAATAGCTTTTAGAATCTTTTCCATGCCATACTTTTCTTCGTTCAAGATCAAAAAGTATTTTCTTTTAAAACAGTGCTACTGTACATTCAAAACTGTCAAAACCTTCAATCTTCCTCTACTCACAAAACAAATGTAAAATGATTTTTTCTTATATTTTCTTTATAAAACACCCATGTTGGGCAGAAATGCTTGAAATGTTTTAGAATGTTGAGTCTGGGGTGCTCTGGGACTCACGGCCTGTTCCTGACAGATCTGAGTGAGACGCTCCAGCTGCTCTTCCCTCACAGCCTTGGTCTTCTCACACTGCTGGATCTCTAATTCCATCTCAACTTTAACTTGTAGCACATAAGCTAAAAGAGAGAAGAGCAAAGGAGAATAAAACAAATATCCAAAGAAAAATAAAAGAGGATACAAGACTGAATGATGTGTAGGGGTTTACATCCTCAATCCTAATTAATAATTAGTAACCTGTAGTGCTAAAACAGCAAACTCCATCCAGTAAGGATCTACAAGATTTACATTAGAAAATTGAAACTGCTCCATGATGTGAAATCATTAGATGATCATGGACAATGAATTTGATTGAAAGCAACAGTTCTGTCACTGAATAGAAATCACACAGAGCCAGACAGATACTTACATATCTGATCATTGAATGATACATGGGACATGTCAGATTTTGGGTTAGTTTTCTAAATTGTGGTCTCACACAAACAATCCTCTTCCTTCATTTTACCAAGCTTCTAATGCTGCTTTGTCCCTAGAAAATCACAATGTGTTGTGGCACTGACATGACTTTTGTTTGATCGACAGTAATGGATGTATGTAATGTATAATTCTGGTACAAGTTGGAAAAACATACCAAAAAAACTGTTGCCAGTATACTTGGCAAACAATCAGCACTTTGCACTTCTCTGACATCTTATTTGTAATTCAGCCACATCACATGGGGTAAGGCTGTGTCAGCTAATGGGGAATGTTGCACTAAGCTTCCTTAGTAATTGAACCTCTTCCTAAGTCGTCTCAGTCATGAAGTTTTGTGATTGCTTGGTTCACTACACAAACACACTAACATGAGAATGAAGCAATGTCGCCTGTTAAAAAGAGAAGCAGAGCAAAGCACAGAGCCATCACCACATGGTCCTTGTGCCTATTTATAGTAATGCTGGCATGCTCACATAACAAAAGGGAGAGACGTCAGATGGGGTCAGTCCAGCCAGGATTCAAACATACATAAGAATCTTAATCTGGAGTTTGTTATTCAGCCGCAATTCTTAACACCTGTTTTTTGTAGAAATAAGTTTGAGTCAAATATAGGTTTTATTGCATCACAGCAGCACTGTCAACTTCTGGCTGTGAGAGCCAGAAGTTGACCATTTTTTTCTGCCAATTTGAGAGAATAATGTTTCCCATCTGACATTGCACTACAAATAAATTCCAGTTTTTCTAGTCCTCCAAAACTGGGCTTCAGGTCACTGCTCTGTATTTCCATTCCCATCGGACTCACACAAATGCCGTCGCTTTATACATCAGGCTTTTTCTGCGAGCGCCTCAGTCCCTTGCTTAACAATCACTGAGACAGTCCCCAAAGCTGTACGTTTTGTGGTTTAAGGTTGTTTTTATAGACCCCCTGAGGTGTGCTGGTACCTTTCTAACAACAAAACTCAATCACTCACAAATATCCAACCCTAACAGTTGAGGTGGGCAGCAGGAAAATCAGTTCCTTCCCAAGAGACCAAGAGGCTTCAGCTGCATGTTAAGAAGCACAACTCTCAGAGCAAAGTAAGTCCTAAAGGGCCATGTTTCATTTATGCTGGTGACAACTGTTTTGTGTATTCCTGAAGTTAGTTGTTATGTTCACAAATAGTTTTAAAAAGACTGAATATTTACTTGAAGAGACAAAAAAGGATTTTATTTGTGGACATTCACAACACAGGTTTAAGAGAGGATATAAGGCACGCTGAGTTTTTATATTCTTTGAGGCAGCTGATCCTGTATGCAGGCAGGGAAACAGTGTGAGGGTGACCTCGGAGCAGATATTGAACCATTCTGCATTAGCATAGGGGAGGACAACCATTTTATTCATTATGGTTTCTTTGAATCTACTTAACCATATGCTTTGAATCGATACAAGTTAGAGTAGCAGAGTGGCAGCAATTTACTGAGGGATGATCGATAGCTGTATTGCTCTGAATAGCAAATAATTCATATAATCATGGAAAACATGGAGTCATTTAACTGTTTCATCTGCATTATACCTCTGAGTTCAGAAATACTGGGTGTGCCCTAGGGTTGCTTGACTGTGTAATCAGTCTAACAAATCCGCTTTCTGATGATTTTCTTTAATGGACTATAGGTGTTATTTTTCCTCACCATCAATGATCCGCTTGACTCTCCAAATGCGTAGGGTGATGATGAGGCTGATGGCATCCCAGGGGCTGCTAGGCCCATTGGCCACTGTGGAGGCCACCATTGGGGCCAGAGACAGCACAATGACAGCGCCATCAAATACCTGTGATTGTCAGAAATACAAAAACACAAAATCAACTTTTAGTAGTGGAACTCTTTAAATAACTCAACTCAAACATGGAGTTTAAATATTGCATTTTCTGTGCATACAATTACTTTGAAACATCCATCCATCCATCATCTGATCATGTAATAATAAAGCAAGCACCCTAAAAAAGTTAGAAAAAAGTTATGTATTTTAACTGAATCTCTAAATCAATGTACATTTTTTTTACATATACCACTGGAATAACCAAATTAAAAACTAACCTGGATCAGCATTGATATTAAATAATATTCACCACTAACCTCAACTTTGTTCTCTATGTAGTCCCAGATCCCAAGCACTACAATTCTGAACACGGTCTAACCAAGAAAGAAATACAGATACATTCAAAACATTTAAAAAGATATGTACAATTCTCAGGTTCACGCAGAATAAAAATCCACATTATTGAGTTAATTTGACTTGTTTGGACATTTCTTAGTTGTTTTAGATTGTGTTCTTGTGGCCCCTTTACACAGAGGTTTTAGCTTTGACTGGAAATTAAGAGTACCCCGACCCCAGTGAAGACCTTATGAGTACTGCATACCGTTCTAAAATGAGAAGAACACAATAGCACTTTAAAAAGCCAAAGCATTCTTAGAACAGCAGTCTTTGGAAAGATGAAACAAGGATTAACCTATGTCATAATAAAGGAATGAAAAAAACATATGGAGAAACATATGGAGAAACCAATCAAAAGTTTCCAGGTATAAAGTTTATTCAGTCATAACAAAGGCAGCGAGAAGAGTACAATTTTAATGAAGAAAATCATTTCTCATGAGTCATATATGAGTATCTTAATTGCAGTTATTCCTAAAAAAGAGTTATTCTTATTATTGCACTTTGCTGGGAATTGAAAGTCATATTTGTTATTCAACAATTTAGTTTTCCCCCCAAAAAATATCATTGGACAAACCCATACCTAATCAAATGGTAGAGTAGAAGTTTTTTACATAGCAGTTATTTACACACTAATTAGCATGAGGTGCAATATATGTTGGTCCACAGTCAAGCGAAAAGTGCAGGTACAGCACCCCCGTTTAGTATTTCTGCTCACTTATAAACCAACTGGTTACAGGTTATTTCTGCCCAACAGCCTTCCTAAGTGACTCTTCATCTGTGAGGTTATCAGGTGAAGTATATGGACAGATCCCATCACTGTAACCCCACCCTCTCTGCTAATTTGGCTAAACTTTTATTATTGTTTGTGCAGGCTCACAGCTAATTAATGTTTGGTGGTGGACGTTTGGGCTGAGGCGGAGGGTAATTGCCTTGCACAGTGCATAGAGGCCTGTGGCTCAAATGTGCCCTTAACATTTTGTTTTTCACTTTTTTAGAATAACAATGAAACAGTATTTTACTAAATGATATTTTTTAAATTATCAACAGCCAAATCGTGAGCCAAAAAGAAGGGAAATGGAAATGGAAATGGAACAAGGCAAATTAAGGTTTTAGTGATATTACAAACAAAAAACTATGTTTTAGGTAAAACAAAAGAAAACATGTCTTACCTCAGAAAAGAAGAGTGACAGGATGATAAGGCTGATCCAGTGGATAATGCTGGCAAATTGGAACGCATTAGAAACTGGAAGGGTGAAAAGGCAAATGTTCATAACAGATCTAGAAAAAAAACACACCAAAGAATTTTACACCACTTTCTCCCACAATTCAAGTGAAGCTTTGAGGAAATTACTATTTCTATATTAATTTCTTATTATTTTGTCTAGAACCATGTTTAGCTCATTATTCCTGTTAATTTATTAACCTAAAGCATCACATTTTACCTTGTTGCCCCTCCTTTTATTGTTATACAGCACTGGCACTAGACTAAGAACAAGATTAAAATAGATCTAAAGTGGCTGGACTTCTGCAGTCCCCCGTTTGAGAGTTGGGTATCGTCAGTGGTGGATGCTGGCCAATAATCGATGGCGATGTGTGCCTGCTGCTACTGACAAGAGACTTTGTTCATTATCACCTCACTCCATCATTCTCCATCAGAACCATTTAGCATCCAGTTCCACCAGCTCCTCTGTGACTAGCAAGCTCACACACATACATGAACACACAATTGTTTCATAGAGTATACCATTTCAGGTCATTAACATAAAACCACTTTAGTTATAACTGATTTTTCTTAACCAGATGATTAAGTGAAAGAATAACTTTTCTAGACACCCTGCATCCAGAATCCCCCGGATTACATGTTTAATTTGACAATATGAGGATTCTTTACAAATAGAGAATATTTAATTAATCAAAATAATCCATAACTGAGCATTTTCACATGATTACACTACACTCGACACAAAAAATCATTCCACACAGGGAGAGGTGCACATGTGAGGGACGCCAGAGAATTTTTTTGTGTTCTGCCTGTTTCGTTTTTTTTATTTCCAGAAGCAGATCTCAGAGATTCTTCCACCATCTGTCATTTGTCTTCTAATCTGCAAATGAGGCTGTGTTTTTCTGATATAGTGTTGAGTGCTTGTCAGCATATCAGCTGACAAGTTTGAGGCATATCAGCTGAATAGTTACGAAAAATATGAACCGATTATAAAGTGACCTGATGAATGATTTCTTTTTACCTGGAAGAAATGGATTTGGTTTGCATATAAGATTTTAGCTAGTTTAACAATGTTTAATTTGTTTGAATTGAGTCTACCTTTTTTGGGGCACCAGGTGGGATGTTTATGCTTCACCATCTTCGTTCTCAGACCAATTATCAATAAAATAACGCACCTCATAAAAGTTTGCAAGTCATCATACAAATAGCTGTCTTGACCCTTAAGCCAGAGTAAACTGCACTTTAAATATACTTTAAAGCATATTTCACAATCTCTCTACCTTAAACAAAATAACTATTTCAAATGTTTGTGAGCAGTTAAAACTCTTAAGAGACCATTAAAAGTGTATTTTTCACTTCTGAAAATAGATTCCTTTTATGTGATCCTGTCGACATTTTGGATGGTGATTTTGCCAAAGTTAATAAAGGCCATCCATAAGTTTAACTCCATGCTGTGCAAACGGAGCTGATGTTGTAAGTTGCTGTCTGACAGCCAGGTGGAACATGAATGTCACAGTGTGCCGACGAGGAGCTTGCACATTCACCAAATCGTTCACAAAACAGGTCAAAATGAGAGAAACCAACGCAGGGTATTTACATTGTAATAGTTTGGTGTCTATGAGCAACTCCAAAGACAGGAAAAGCACCACCAGGATGACGCAGGCCACCAGGATACAGTTGAAGCCGGCGCTGAGCAGACAGACCTGCCACAGGGCCACTCGACGCCCGCAGCATGGCTTCAGCCAGTTGGAACTACTGAAAGAGGAAAGACAGAAACAGATTTATTTTTTCATAAATAAGATCTAAAAATTTTGCTGTATAGTTCTTTTTTTTATTTAAATCAATTTTGAGAAATTGAAATAAAACAGAGGATAAGAAATTAATATAGCCAAACCCAACTTTACACTTAAGACTATACACATTAATTAAATGCATTTATCAATTCAGCACTATAAATACAATTCTGTTGTAAAGGAGGCTGGTTGGTATACTTTAGTGAGTTCCCGTGAATGTGAACTTCCTAAAATGCCCAACAGAGGGAGGTAGTTCACACATATAAAGTGCTATGTCTACTTAAATCAAGGCAGGGTTTGGAGGTCAGAGGCAGCATTGACAGAGGAGGGGGACAGTGAGGCTCTGTGAACTATTTAACCATCTGCAGGGTGAGCAGAATACCAATGGGCTCCTTTTGACATGGCAATGAAGGGAGTCACTGTATAGGATGCTGCTAAGAATTGAGGGTTAAGTGTTTTACAAACACAACAGCCTGGAGCAGAAGACACAAAGTGGGACAGTGTGAGGCATTTGTGCACGTGTTATCCACGGAAAATCACTCAACATTTTAGAAGAATTTACAATCCCTGCTTGATTTTAAGTTAGCATGCTCCATTTCAAAGATAAACAGCAGGTTCGCATATTAAGCCTTTAGACCACTGATGTCTTCAAAGTATCTGGCAAGATGGCTAACTGCTGTTTTAAGATGGTAAGGCGGTCATAAAGATCAACTGCTACAAGGGATGACAGTTGGAGATGGGAGAAACAATGCCTCTCACAAGCTCTCCATCTGGAATGGAAAGTTGGCTCTGCCCACTACCTTTCCTCTCTCCCCATGCACTGGCATGGGAGACAGAGACATTGGCAGAGCGTGTCTCTCCTCTGATCATGTCTTCATTCCTTGGCATGGTCCAAATATGAGCTGCAATGGTGGCAAATTTCACTGTGGTTTTAGGACTGATTTTTCCTACTCATCGTGCAAAAATGTGGGTTTTTTTATCGTCATAACAGCATATTGCATTAAAGCTCATTACACGTTGTTTTGAGGCGTTGGATAAAAATGTCTCCTTGAAATGATTTGATAATAGTGGAACCCAAGGGAGTTGTTATCAAGACAGCAAGAATAAAACTAATCAAGCCACAATATCTAATGAAAGTATCTAGTCTAGTGTCATACAAGATTAGGGAGGGCTTCCATGCTGAAATCACAGTATAAAGGAGAAGCATTTACTGCTGTTTATTCAGTGCTGTCAAAAAAATCCCAACATCCCAGAGGATGGCTTTTTTTTCACATGTCATCTGCTCATTTGTCGCACGTTTACCCCTGCTAAATCACTGAAAGAGGCCACACATGCCTTTTATTTCACATGTGAGGCTCACTAGTCACTTGAGTTCAAATATATCACATATCACATTCAAATAGAAGCTGCAGAAACCCAAAGGAAAGCAAAGTCTTTCTAGTGACTTGTCTTCATGGCCTCCCTCACATTTCTGTAGCTGTAAGGCAAATGTCTTCAGTCGCTGATGAGTTTGATTGCTCCATCCTCTAACTGCTCTCCCTGAGAGAAGTATTGGTTCAAACTTGGCACGGGCAAAGCCACGATTCTCCAGACAATGCATGGCTAATCTAATAAAGGCGTGACCATGCTGATAGCAATCATCTTCTTGGCTTTGGTTGTGGCGGCACAAGTATGTAAACTCCAGATGGTGCAGAATCTGCTCCACCAGTATGTGTGTGTTGACGGGACCTTGCGGATGCCAGGTAGCGTGCTATTAGCCACTCAGGCTTACATGCCAGAATATGGCGCTTATCTATGTATCTATGCATGTCTGTTTGTGTCTGTATGTATCTATCTGTATCACGACTCTCACTGTAGGTTCAAAACTAATTAAAGTTTTAAACTAATTGTCTCTTAAAACTGAAACAGTTTCAAGTGACAGACGTTTTCGTATATAGTATGTAATGATATATTTTTAAATGAGGAGTCCTGTGTTACCAATGCAAATAAGCCATGTAGATTTGTACAAATAAGCTGAAAACCATTTAAGTCAGCGACCTCAAACTCCAGTCTTAAAGGACCACTGTCCTGCAGGTTTTACATGTTTCTCTGCTTCTACAAACCTTATTTAGAAAGAATAGATCAGCCCTCAACACTGGACAGGAGTTTGAAACACTTTTTAAGTATTAAAATTGGAAATATGTTAGAAAAGGACGAAATATAGTTATCGAGCAAGATATCATACAAGTCAAAACTTTTAAATATATCTTGTCCAGACGTTTGACAAACAGTTTTTGTTTATACTCATATGGTACATATACCATATGTATGTATGATTTATATTAATCGTTTTTATAAATAACACTAAGATCAAAGTGTGTTGTGTATGTGGGACATTACAATGAGTCTATAAACCAAGGTCACAATTTTTTCCAGCAATCGAAATATACCTTTTTCTTTTTCTTTTTTTTTTTGGGTGCTCAAACCAGTGCATCAGCTGTAGGTACACACATGCACACACACGTGGAAAAAGGAATACAGACTACGAGTTTTAAAGCAGCGCAAGGACTCAGCTTTGATACGTTTGACAAATAGGCTGAATGTGTGCGCGTCCTTACTTCATGTCACACCAAACCTAGCCCAGCCCAGAAGGGACACAGTCAGACACTGCTGGTGACACATGCAGTATATTAATGAGTCTTATTAAGGCAACAGAACAGTAGCAAATGTTGTTTCTCTGACCCAGTCTGCCCTGACAGTCTGACAGAACCACCTGGCTTGAGTCACAAGTAGGCAAGCACAATCAGTGGACAAGGTCAAACTCTGAAACTGGGCTTTGGCATCGCATATTTATTCCCATCATGATACTGGTTTACAGCCAACGTTGTTTTAACTGCCCTGATCATGCGACTTTCTGGACTCTGAATTGGATGCCTCGCTAAATTTCTGCCCTTTCTCTCCTGCGTGTCCACTCCATCTGTGTTTTCGTATTCAAAACTTCTTTATATTGCCTGTGCGTGATTAGCAGCCCGAAATAGCTGTCAGTGTTTGCCACTGTTAGTTAGATAGAGGAAGGCTGGACGGAGAAAGTGAAGAGGGAGATTAAATCAGGCAAAAAGATCAATAGCATCACATAAAGTGAGCCACCGAACAGTGAAACTGTCAGGCTCACAGTACCTGATGGCCTCATCAGATACGACACTCCACAGTGGAGAAAAACAGGGGTGTGGGGGGGGGGGGGGGGTTTAAGATAATTTTTCTTTATTATCTCACCCTCTAACATTATGAAATATTCCTAAACCTCTTTAAAATTCCTGATGATTATCGGTTAATGTTATCTTTTTAAGCAATTTACATCCGTTCTATCCATCACCCCACAAGCTCCACTCTGCTAGTTTAATTTAGGTACCTTGATGATTTCCAAATAAAAAATAGATTAATACATTCTTCAGAAATGGGCTTGGCCTAAAATATAATCATTACACACAGCTATTTAACACATGGACAGTGGTCATAGACAAGCAAGTTCCATGCCGGGTGCTGTGATTTTTTGTCAAATCATGGTCAACTGGTAGATTCATGTTACTCCAGAGTAGAATCAGTTTCTGAAAAACATGCACACATTCTTAACAAGCCATCAGATTAGTTTAGAGTAATGAGTCTGTGCAAACAGCTGTCTTGATATCTCTTTAAACTTGTAACTGAGGGCTCTTTTTCCCTTTGACTCATGGTCTATTATTGGCCAACCCCCCGAGGTGCTTTGAAAGTGGCAATAACTGCTATTCCTGGGAAGAGATGTGGAATTGTGAATGTAAATGATGAGTGACATCATCTTGGCACTTTTTTCAATTGTACTGACATGAGAAGGAGAAAACAAAGATCGCACTCTTTTAATCAGATTCAGTTTGTGTTTAGTGGTTTTATTGGTGTTTTCTTAATGAGCTTTTGATCTCCTGTTTTTATCTCCTGTTTCTTAGGGGTGAAAAAACATTTTGGTGACATTGGCCGTCTTAATTTTTCTGAAACGAACAAGAAAAATGACAACAACAAAAAATAGATCTTTATGACATGACAAGGCCTCCTACCTCCACATAAAGCCAGGCAAAAGACATTTAATAACAAGGCTAGAAGACCCCTAAAACTAAAACAGGCAGTAGTTTGCTAAACAGTATCGAGGTTAGTGTCTTGTATGCTGCTGTTATGGGGAATTTTTTTATGAGCAGAGGTAAAAATAAAACAACTTTTTGAAAATGAATAAATTCATCGAAATAATAAAGTTTAATATTTGTCCCATCTGAAGGGGAAAAAAGTTTTGTTTTGTTTGATTTTTACACCAACACCCGAGCCCCGGCATGGTTTTAGTAAATATTGAACAAAAAGTTCATTTTTTTAATCAAAGACGTTCAAGGAACGATTTGACTTTTTCAAACTGAAATTTTTTATTCAAGCTGACTTGAACACATGAATGTGTGAAAGCTCCTTTTACAGCACCAACCTCAACCCCCAAACTCAAAGAGGGAACTGTGTGAAACTGTGTGTGACCATAAAGTCATTGTCTACAGATAGCAAGCTCACCTGTCCAGTTTTCCAAAGCAGGCAGGAAACATCACACCATCTCCTACAACAAAGGTATCTCTCACAGGCTCTAAAGAAAGTTGCCAACTTTCACATGCAAAATGCTTGATGCACAGCAAGCATGAAAAAGGGGGGCTATCAGCTAAGCATAAAATACATGCTGAGCCTCCCTGGTGCTGTCAAAATGCAAGTAATTAATTTTACTTTTGAAAGCTTGCCCATTAGCAGAGCCTGTGCCCCACTGGTTTTAACACATCGGCAACAAAGAGGTCAGCACCAAAACTCTAACATCATTTTCAAAGAAACAGAGACATTAATAAGTGACCCTGAAGCCAGCCTCCACACTTCATAAGAAGCTGATGGACCTTCACGCAATGATGGAGCACCTCCCTTTTTTTTTTTAATTTC